ATTTTTTTTTTACGGAAAATCACAACATCTCTTAAATAATTATCCAATTTCTGTAGTGAAAACGTTTTCAGATCTAGGAGTGTTTTAAGTTAGATATCCAGGTATTTTCCTGAGTGGACTAAAATTCTGTGCTGACAAAATTGAAACTACTGTATTCTCGTATATAAAGTATTTCCTGTTCATTATTAAAGTGTAGATTATATTTCCAGCAATTCAGCTTGTTGCCTCAGAGAACTTATGATTTCATCTATCTGCAAAGTGGAGCTAAGTCTGTGCGGCACATAATGTTCATCTGGTTTAACAGAAAACTCTGAACAACTGTCCAGGTATAAAGCAACATATAATTATTCAGATGTACGTTAGACGTACATAATTTACAAGCTACTGTAAATCAAATAAGTAGTTTTGAATTTGTATTCTAATCTTACTTATAGCATCATATCCTTATATATCCTTTTGGCAATATTGCACCATAGGGAAGAGAAGTAGTCCACTTTAAAAACATATTGAACATCGCTGTTGTATGTAGTACTTTTAATAGGCTACTACTACAATGTAGGGTTTCCTGTGTCCTGAGACTGATTTAACATAATGTTTCTACAATATCTGAAGTGTGTGGAAGTCTTCACAGTGCTGTGCATTTGAATCTAGGTGCACTACTCTGGTGGATAATCCTCTTGAGAATTTTCCTTGCAGTTTCTTTGCCAGTTATGGAGGTTAAGCATCATGGATTTTACTGAAGAATCCAGACACTCTGGTTAGGGTTCATAGCATTTTTTTACAAATGTTTAATAGAACATTTAATATAACATTTCATTATGTATGAAAAGAATTGGCGGATATCTGGTTTTATGTGGTTCTTGATTCACTTTCTCACGTGGCCTGAACACACCAGTATTATTCCCTTCCCTTTACCTTTGCTGAACCATAATGTTAGTGAAGCTCTTTTAACCTCTTATGATTTAACTGCTACAGAAATGCAAAATATGTAATTCAAAGAGAGGGAACAACTTCAGTACTTACTCTGTATCTTCATAAATGATGCTCCTAATTCTCAAATGCAGTATCACATTCATAATGTTATACCAATATTGTCTTCACATCATAAATCATTCAGCTTAAAATTCAGATTGCTTTTGATACTAGATTTTCTGCTAATCCACGCTTTAATAACCTGAAACAGTGAAATAAAGCTGCTTTGAAGTTGATTTATGAGGCATTTTGCACGCTTCACTAGGTTTTATGTAATGGATTATACATTTACCAGAAGAATATTTAACTGCAGAAAAGAATTTAGAAAGCTATTTTTCTGTATTTCCCTAGTCAGAACTGAATTTTGTACATAAACAGTAACATCTGTTGTGTTAATCAACTGAAAGAAATATAAATGGACTACATTCAATTATGTATGAAGTGATTACTACCTTTTTTTTTTTTCCAATCAGAACTAGCAGTAACACATAAGTATTCATCACATAATTCAACTGAAATGAACTTACTCATCACTGAAAACATGAACTGTACCACTTTCATCCATGCATCTAAAATCAGTCCAAATTGCAATGGCTCAGGCAGCTGAAGCAAACTAGCAGGGACAGCACCTTAGTCATCTGTGCTTCTCTGCTGTGTGTACATCAGCTCAGTAAAAGCTGGATTTTTGCCAATTACTGGTCTGTCTAGTGAGTATTTGAGAATAATTCATCCTCTGGTTTGAAGGAGATATGTAAACAAAAGGCAAGGGTAACCCAAAACTCAAGGCTTTTCTGCTTTACCACTCTGAAAGATAGTTGCCACTAGTAAGAAATACCCACTTTCTGTATTAATTTCTTAGGAGCAATTAAAAAAAAAAGAGTGGAAATTTAATAGGGAGCATGAAGCAAAAAAGTACAGAGAAAAAAATCATTTAATCAGGGTTTGAGAGCCAATCTCTTCTTTAATCAAACAGCAATTTTCACTGCTTGATTTTAAAATAGTAATTAGTAAGAAAATACATCAGCCTGATGGTGTTAACAGCATCTGCCTTGAGATTTTGGGTCAGATCTGCACATTGTGTAACACATCTTCACTGACTTGAACAGCACTTGAACACAAATGGTTCATCCTGGAGTTTATGTAATTTCTCTGGTTTGTTACAAAAGCATCCTGATATCTTTTACATAGAAAAGGCAGAATCGCTTGCAGCAACTGAAATAACATTGGAGAAGAGGAGCAGAAGATATGAAGTTGTTCCCTGACTGGAGAACTGGCAAGTGAAGCATTATCACCTATTGACTTTGCTGGCGGTTACCCCTACTAAAGCTTATAGTGCAGCTGAGTGCAGTTTTATCTCAGAAGAAAGAAACAGCATGATAAGTAACTGCTTGAAATATCTTAGTCACACAGACGCTGTGTTTTGGTATTAGCCTCTAGCATTAAACATACGTAAGTCCATCAAACAATTGGACTTGACAGCCTGTTGGTGTCGTTTCTTTATCTGGAAGAAGTGTTTAGGAATTTTATGATTTTCTTTTTTTTTTTTTTTTTCATTTGGGGAAGTGCTGTTGTACTGAAATGAAAGCATATTCTGTTCAGCTAATTTTCTGTTGGTTCCTTACTCAGGACAGAATGTAGAAAAAAACTCATACAATATGGATGTCCCTTAGAAGATAGAGCAGTCTGGTGATTCAAGTAGTCAATTAAATACAATAAACCCAGTTTCAATTATTCCATGGTCAGATTAGCACTTTCTATTAAATTTATATCCCTAAGAAAAAAAGAATAACATGACAAAAACAGAGCTCTCACAGACAGGAATAATGTTTAAGCAGAGAAGAGAAATGGAGAGTACCACCACAAAGGGAGAGAAAAGAGGCAGAAAAGCAAAGAAGAGCAGAACAGTTATTTTGTGAAACTTTGGAAACATTATGCTGTAAAACACCAAATCTAATGAATTTTAATACGTTCATAAGAATGAATGCAAAAGAGTTAATTTTAATTAGCATGCTATATACAGTAACATGCTATTAACTTCACTTTATCATGTTGCCTTAGCTCATCTCACATTCCTGTCTCCTGTTAAATCCCCATGATTATTTTTAATTCTAGATTCTGTGCTGGTTGTATTTTGTATCCTCTATCTGTACAAATACCCAAGCTACTTATAACAATATCATACTGTTTTTAGATTTGATCTTCTTTCTTACTTCAAGTATGTATTTGTATCTCAAAGTGTAGGGAGAAACTTTCAAGCAGTAGTTACTTGCCATTTTTAAATTAACAAGCTTTTCAGCTACAAAAGCCAGAAGTGTATATTTACATATAAGGAAAAATTGTATATGAAATGTACATATTGCATGTATCACTGTTGTCATTGATTCAAGATGGCATTTTAAGTACGTAAATTCTAAACTCACAATACTGTCAATAACTAGATGAATATTAAATTAAAAAAAAAACAACCTTAGAAGTGTGATGATTTTTTTTTAATTTCAAGACCTAGAAAAAACAAAGGGCAACATTTAGAAAGCAGGAGTTTAAACATAGTATTTGGGCAAAGAGCTGTAGATTCATTACTTTCCAAAACGTGCCTGCTTCCTTCAGTTTCCAAATATAGAATTTCAAGTTTCTTTCTTTTTCACTTTCTAATTTGTCTGTAAAATTTAATGTTTATTAAGTAATTGCAGGAAAATGTTGGTTTCAAGTAACACATGAAGTTACACGTAACAGAAGTCTCTGAGCTGGAGTAGGAGTCAAAGTCAACATTATTCTTGTTATGGTTGCTACAGAATTCATAATTGGAGTCACTTTGTTCATGCCAGGCATTTAGAGCTGTTTTGCTTATCTTCCTCTTGTAAACTCCAACAGCAGCAGCATCTGTGGCTTTAAGCCAAGATGTGAGATCTGTGGATATGCCAGGACAGCATTCTGGCATGCCTCTCTAAACTGGCTCCAGTGCTTCTTAACTCAGGTATGGGAGCAATGAAGCTGAAGGATCTTCCGCAAACATGCCTCCTCTTTGCATTAGTGTGTGGGTTGTGATTCATCATGGTCACATGGCTGTACAGTCTCGCCAGTATAAGCCTGAGCTGTATGATTCCTGTAAGAGCCTCTGTCCCTCCACCAGAAATTCCAGTATCCAGTCTCTGCTACAGCTGGAAAACAAAAACTAAGCAATAAACTAAACAGAGCAATACTGCAGCTAAGGGCTATTTGAATAAACACATTCAAAAAACATACTGGAGTTGACTACCACTACACAGGCAGCTGCTAGTTCAGCCCCCAGACTACGTAAAGTTGGTAAAAAAAAAAATCAGTTATTTAGGTTATGGCAGGAGAATCTAACCAGTGTATCAGAGTTGTCCTTCAAAAGGTGTCCTGTTCTCATAAAACATCCCACAACAACTCAGCCCAGGATTTCAGATATATTTCTCAAATGGAGGTTAAAAGACAATTTTGGAGATAAGAATCATAGAATCATAGAATGGCTTAGGTTGGTAGGGACATTAAAGATCATCCAGTTCCAACCCTGTGCCGTGGGCAGGGCTGCCACCCAACAGATCAGGCTGCACAGGGTCCCCTCCAACCGGGCCTTGAATGCCTCCAAGGATCGGACATCCACAGCTTATCTGGGCAAACACTTCCAGTACCTCACTACTTTTTTGAGTAAAAAATGTATTCCTAACATCCAACCTAAATCTCCCCTCTTTTAGTTTAAAGCCATTCCCCCTTGTCCTATCACTATCAGACCATGTAAAAGGTCAGTCCCCCTCCCACTTATAAGCTCCCTTCAAGTAGTGGAAGATGGAAGAGCAAATACACCAGAGTTAGTTCTGCTACATTAGTATTAACATTTCCAGAATCTCTAGATCTCCAGTTCAGAGAAAAATCATATGTTCCTAGTTCTTACTCCCAATAAATGCAGCAGAGAATAAGGTAAAGTCTAAGGGATCCAAGGCACCTGGTCCAGGTTTTTGGCTCTTACTGTCTACAAACAAAACACTGTCAACACCCAAGCGTTTAAAAGTCTCTGGAATTGACTCCTATTTTCAGCGAAAGCCAACCATCTGTAGGTCTAGTATGGTCACTAGTTTAGACAACATCTGCAGCAGCCCTCACTGATAACTGATTATTTCATCTGTAACAACACATAAATATGACTAAGCTTCTGTTGCAAAAAGACTCCATAAGCTGTGTGCTCATCCTGTTAGAAACTCACTGCAGGAGCTCAATGAAAAGCAACAACACACACCTTGAGATAAATCAGGTGCCAATGAGCCAGAAATACTCTTAAATCTAGTAGGGAAACCATCAATCAGTTCTTATCTGAAGATTAATCGTTATAATTTTCAATACTAAAAACTTCTGTTCTACCAATGCCTGTAACTTATCATGCTGCCTGTTCTGTGTAAAAAATCTTTTAACTTACTTTTTTCTATTACTCAGCTCCTCACTGAACAATTCCATATTCTACCACGCTGGTGTTTCAGTTCCCTGAAAACAAGGGCCTGAGGTTACTTTACTGATGTTGATACAATGGCCCATCTGCAACATTGTAAAATTTAGTTGTTTTTTTTTTTTTTTCCCATCTACTTCCAGCACCTTTCTACTGACCCCTCAAATATGTTACCTCAAAAATCTCTTCTGAAATGCTTGAAGTCTTGTTTATTTCAAATAAATCTTATTTCTTATTTGCCACATAGCAAAGTGGGGGTGGGAGGAGTTGTTGCTAAGTGGTGGAGCTTCCCATCTTTCTGTGGTGCGTTGACAAACTTCTTCGGTATGCAAGAGGGAGACGCGGAGTTCTCTCATAAGTCCTGTTGGCTTTATTTATGGCCATATGTTTTGCAGGTAATTCTGGCATGCCATCAGAAAAGACACCAGGCAGGTTTGGCTTGTTTTCATCCCAAGCTGGTTTTAGGAAACGCTTCAAGTCTTTACATCAATGAACTTTGCAATGTTCCAACAAGTTTCAAACCTCACAAAAAAACAAACAAACAAACAAACAAAACTCATCCGTGTCGTTATCTGTCTTATTTCTCAAGGGATTTCCACGTAACAAGAATTGTTTCCTTTGACGTGCATATAGCTGCTGCATGCGGGCGCGGAGCAGAGCGCACAGGCGCGGGGGAAGCACCGAACAGGCGCACAGCACGCTGGCAGGGTGGGCGCGCTCGTGCCCTCACGAAACAGTGGGAAGGCCCACGGGAAACTCTCCATGCACAGAACCATTGGAACAGCCAGCGACTGGCGACCGGCGAACAACAGCCCGGGGAGGGCAGGGCAGGGCAGAGCAGAGCCGCGGAGCGACGCCTCGCCTTCCATCTCCACAGGCGAAGGCGGGGGTGGGCGGCGCATGCGCGGTGCGGCGCTGGCGGCGGGGCGGGATGGTGGCGCCGCTGGCGGGCCCGAGCTGCAGGTCGGTGGCGGAGCCGGGCGGCGGGGGGGAGGCGGGGCTGGACGCTTCCCGACGCCTTTCTCCTGCCCTCAGTCGTCGCCGCCGTCGCTTCCGTCCCCGAGCTGACGCGGTTCGGGGCTGTTTCGGCTCTGGCAGCGCGCGGGGTAGCGGGTGGGGGGCGGTCGCGGGCGGCTCGCCGGGAGCCCCCAGCGGAGCCCCCCGAGATGTCCGTAGGTGTCGGGAGAGCGGCAAAGCGGGTGGGCAGGGCAGGGCAGCAGGGCAGCGCAGCCGGGCAGCAGGGCTGGCCGCGGCACTGACGTCCCCTGTGCCTTGTGCCTCCCCGCAGGCGGCCGCCCTCTGGCTCCCCATGACAAGCAGCCAGGAGGATTTCTTCAGGGACTACCTCAAGATGCTGGCGAACATCGTCATCCTGAGCCTGCTCATCTCGGTCTCGCTGGCGTTCTGGATCGTGTCCATGACCGCGAGCACATACTACGGTGAGTGCAAAGGCCGCGGCCAGTCGGCTGGGCCCGCAGCCAGCCATCCCGCCTCCCCCCCCTCCGGGGACGGGGTCTGGGTCTGGATGAGGCATCTGTAGGGCTTTCCCAGCCCGAGTAGAGCTGGGAGCCCGAGGCCCAGAGAGAGCTGTGCTGTCCCGCAGTGAGGGTAGGGATGACGGGTGGCGAGGGGAGCTCCGGCCTGCAGAAGTTTTGGAAATGCTCTTGGAGGCTTTGAGTAGGGCATGTGGGAAAGTGTGCTGGGGCACGGGGGGGAGAATCAGTGCTGCAGGAGAGGGATGCACGTGGGGAGTTGCTGAGGTGGGTACATATGGTCAGCTCTGTTCTGTTCAGGTAACCCAGGTGGGCTGTGGGTTGTGTGTGGTTGCAGGGACACATGCTCTCTGTGGGCTGTCACTTCTGTGAAGACCTTTTTTTAACTGCAGCATCTGTTCAAACCTTGAAGAGTTGAACAGCTTTCCTGGGCAGGTGAACAGCTGTCCCTAATGCATCAGTTGCTTTGCCGCAGGAGGAGCTCCGATGTCACTGCAGTGCCACTCAGTGCCTAGGGATGTGTAGGAGCATGCCCAGGTGCTTGCTGTCACCTTGGATTCAAAGGAGATAAATACACACCTCACCACTATGCACACTCTTGTAGTGGCTATTTAATGTCTCTGCTCAGTGCTTTCAAGTGCTTCAGTTTTTAGAATGGCAGTACTCTCAGATATACAGTCTGATTTCTGTGTGGAGCCAGGAGTTGGACTTAATGATCCCTACGACTCCCTTCTGTCCCAGAACATTCCATGATTCTAACTGAACAGAATAAAGGGGCACTCGTGGTTCCATACAGGATTCTCTTAACAGGGTGACATGAAATCAGGTGTCACATGAGTGCAGGTTGTGTCTACAGCTCAGCATGGAGCTGTGTCAGGGAGAGTCAGGTGGGGTTAGGGAAAGGCTCTGCGCCAGAAGGTGGTGGGCATGGAACAGGCTGTCCAGGGCAGTGGACATGGCCCTGAGCTATTGGAGCTCAAGGAGCATTGGCCCTCAGACGTTGTGTTTTGGTTTGGATGGTGCTGTGTAGAACCAGGAGTTGGACTCTGTGATCCCTGTGGGTCCCTTCCAACTTAGAATGTTCTGTGGCACCTCCACATCACTTTGCAGGGAGACATATTTGACACAAAGCAGGTATACAGAAACAGACTTGACAAACAGGTTTGGTTAATTAGTTTAGAACTAGCAGAGTTGGTGTCTTAGTTTCAGCTGGGATGTGATTGTTTTTTTCAGGGTGTCTGGTATGATGTTATGTTTTGGTTCTAGGAGAAAAATTGTTTATAACACACCTATGTATAAAGTTGCCACTAAGTAGTGATATACAGAGCCAAGGCATTTCACAGTGAAAGGCCCAAGTTGCTGTGAGGGAGCAGAATTAGGACAGCTAATTTAAACTGGCTAAAGAGATATTTCATAGCATGTCATCAAGCAGAAGTTTTGAATGGGTGGGAATTCATCTTCCACTGCACAGAGGGCTAGCTGGGCACCTGTCAGTGGTTAGTGAGCAATTGCTTGTACACTTGTTATATTTTTTATTTATACACACATGTAGTCATAACTATTATTTTCTTCCTTTCCTCTGTCTTAGTTTTATCTCAACCCACAGGTCGTACTTTTTTTCCCTGATTCTCTTCTCCATTCCACTGGGAAGGAGAGGAGTGAGCAAATAGCTGTGGTTCTTAGCCAACTGCTAGATTAAGCCACAGCAGACTCATAATGATGTCATTTTTGCATGTCTGCTCAATAGGCATAGCTCTCTTAGCTTTTCCACTAATTAAGTTATTCCTGCTCTTGCTATGTGACAGGAAGATGTAGAGTGGAGAACCCTGATATCACATGAATCAGGGGCTAGTGGAAGTCAGGAGACAAATCCTCTTTTTTGCAGAGGATTATGGAACAGAAACATGGGAAGTCTATTTTCCATTTGACCGAAACCATGGAACAACCAAGATGGGAAGGGGAATTTAGTATATAGTAGGATTGGACTTAATCAAATAGGAAAGAGAATTGTGATGTGGTGCTTTTCTTTGAGTTTTTGACCCAGCTGTTAGCTACAGGGCTCACCTCCACAGCTATACCAGCTGTGGCACTGAGCTTTTTCAGTGCATGAAAAAGAGGTTGTTTTATCATGAAAACCCTTGTTCTCCATTGACAAGTGTTTCACTGTGAGATGTGTTTGCCCTGCTTTCTTCTGAGGAGCCTGAATAGCTGCAGAGCTGTGGGTACTGCTGACACAAGCGCAGTGTTACAAACCATCATGTTCAGCTTTCCAGTGTGGCAAGCAGCTGTGCCTGTGTGAAATTTCTATTCCATTAGATAGGTCAGATGTAATGCTAGATTTGTGATGTCACATATTTCTATAGCAGATGTAATAAATAGTTTCTCACGTTTTGGTGTTGTTTTAGATCAAAAGCCACATTAACGATTAGCTTTACTGTTTTCTAATGGGCTTTTTTTAAACAAAACTCTCATATGAAATCTTGCTGAGATAATCAGTTTGAAAGATATATTTTTGAGAGCATTACATGAAGTTTAAAAGGAATCAGAGAGATGATGTTCTAGACAGCAGTTGTACCACTTTTACCTAGTAGAATTTCTTGTCACGTTTTCTGGGAGTTGCATTCTTTCAGAGGAAGTTGTTAAGTTCAGGACATAATCAATAGCTTTCTTGTCTCTGGATGCAAAGATAGAAGACTTTTTTTAACAGTCTTAGCAGCCATTTCTTCTTATAGTTTCAAATTTGTATGTTCTAAAATATGTACTTGAAACGTCTTTTGCAGTGAAATGTATATCTTATAATTAAAAGTAAAAATGAGGTGATTCAGCACGTATGTACATATATTAACTACTGCTAAGGCAGTAGATACATTGTGTCAGTTCTATCATTAAAACAATAAACCCTCTAACTGGACAGTAATAACTCCTTTTTTAACTTGCTATTAGCTTTTATTTTAGTGAGTGTTCTGGAATTTGAGAAGGAAATAAATATGTTTAGGACACTGAAAATAAATCGTCTACTAGAAGATAAGCTGCTATGGACACTGGTGCTTTATGGAACGGTGTGGAATATGGTGGCTCAGTGGGATATTGTTTTTCTGTTCTACAAGGAAATTCACACTGTAATGAAAGACTCTTTGGGAGGAACAGGGGAGAGAACTTTTGACAGTCAGTATCTATTACAAGACATGAAACTGTTGGATACAGCTGTGTGTGTGTGCATGAGCAGTAAAGAGGGATTACTTAAAGTGAAGAATTCCAAATCACCTGTGGTTCTCAGCTGAGCCAAGTTTTCTGTAGATTAGGGGAACAGAGACAGAACTGGGAGAACTGAACTAGGTAACTTCAGACTTGCTCAGGGATAAACATTTAAAGAGAAACAAGGTTAACACCAGACTTAAATCTTCTGGCTACCTTTTCTTAAATAGAAAATCTATAACATCTTTCATAAAAACAGTGGTTTAATAGGGTTGCCCAAGGCTTACTGAAATAAGCTTAATTTTCAGTTTGTTTACAGTTTTAGGTGTTCCTAGTTTACTTTGAAAGTTCCTAGGACTGCTAGCCGTTTTGGTTTATATAATCATAAGAACACCCATTGTGTTATAATGGATAATGGATGTTTTTGCAGATGCTTAGGGATATAAATTCTCCCTTTTGAGGAGGTAGACTGTTGTGGTGGAGTGAAGAACCCAACAGCAGCCTGAAGATGGTTAAAGAAGATCAGATAGCAGTGGAAGCAATGAAACAAACATTTGTATTTTACATCATAGCAGTCTGCAGTTGATGTATTGCTTGACTGAAGGAGGTCAGTAGCCTGGTTCAGTACAAGCAGCTAATGCAGGAGAGGGGAATTGCATTGTGCAGGTTACCTAATATATCCTCATCTATTTGTTGTCTTGTTGTTTTTATTTCGAAATGAAACACATTGTCAAAAAAAAATTGATGATTTGCTAGCAAAAAAGAAAATCTTACTATTATAACTGTAAATTTATGGTGTCTCCCCAGTGTAAGTACTGCATATACTTACGTTCATCCCATCTCACGGTGTCCATAGCAGAACAGCAAAAAGATGAGTATGAGCAGCACAGGTAATAGTATCCATTTAGGAAGACTTATCAGGTAAAGATATTTCATCATAGAAATGGGACATCTATATAGGTCACGAATGGCAAGAGAAATGTGAATAGAAAATCACAGAATCTTTTCACATTCATTAAGTCAAAAACTGCAGCAGGTATCTGATGAAACTTGAGGCAGCAGTATCTGTGTAGTTGGTCTACACAACAACTGGCTTAAAAATGGAATTGGGCAAATGTGATGGGGGATGATTTTAGAAATTATAAAATAAAAGTTCCAATTAAAAGGGGAATATGAGTCTGTATGTCTTTCTTACACTCTTCTATTGAGCAAGTGCAGCTGGCTGCTGCCAGGTGGGGTTCTGAGTCAGGCAGATGCTCGGCTTGATGCAGTATGCTGGCTTGTATATTCTGAACCTTGATCAAAAAGCACCATCATCATCATGAACAATTCAGATTTATTCAAGTTCTGAGCAAGTCACTCATCACATGATCTGTGAGAGAAACTCTTGTCCTGATTTGTTTTCTTGAAGTTGCTTTGTAGTCTCTTCACATGAAAGGAATGGTAATGCTTTATTAACTGTGGTTTTACTTTGTGTTTTATTCATATTTGAAACTGAATTCTACATACCTTATTGTGGGTGTGTACTTTGTCTAAAATCTGAACATATCTGTTTTATTCAATTAGGTTTCAGTTGTTCTTTACATTTTGCATATTAATTTTGGGGGTTTATAAATTCTTTTTATAGAAAGAAAAATCTCATTGTGTTTCTTTCTAACGAATTTGCCATTTCTTGATCATTAATTTCAGTTACTTTTATGTATTTTTCTCTTTTCTGAATTAAAAAAAAAGTAATAATTACAGGTATTTTGATCTTCCTGTCATAAAAATACTTGGTTTTGAATGCTAAGGAGGTTTAATCTCTATTAAGGTCAGACTTTAAATATATTCTTGGAGAGATATAAAGGCACTAAAAAACTTATAGGGATGGTATGTAACCATTTCATTTTCTTCACCAGGTAATATCCAGCCAATTTCTCCATGGCGCTGGCTTTTTTCAGTCACAGTTCCGGTAGTGATTGTTACACAAGGTTTTAAGAAGAGGAGTCTTGATCACAGTGGTGCATTGGCAGGTACATTTCTTCTGAGATTATTAAGCTAAACACTCAATAAACTGAATTAAGGTCCCTTTTATAGTATGTAATACACTTTTAACACCATTCTACCTGGTTCAATGTAGATGTAAGTATGCATACCATGAATTCATACTGATTTTTATAATGCTTCGGTCAGGTTTACTTTTGCAGCTGTTTGCAGTTCATTCCATTAACATTGTTGTTAGATTTACATAATTCACAGGATTGTTTTGAACTCAGTTACAATTTGCAGTTAAATCTGCATGGTCTTGTTTGTTTCACACAGCTAGAGATAAAGAAGTTGAAGAGGCAGGGATAATGAAAAGCCATGCCAGCAGCCTGTCTGCCTGGTAGGAAACCAGTGAAGATATTTCTTTAATATCAGCATTTTTGCCTCCCACAAATAAGAAGAAAATTAAGTCTATTCTTCACTTCAAGCCAATGACTGTTTCAACAATGTTTTTCTTGGCTGTAAGGAAAGAAAGCACTTGGTGTTCATTGAAATCTGATGTAAGACCTCTGGTTGAGGTGGCTGACCCTTCCTTCTGGCATTTTCTGAGCTGATGGTCAGTGGAAATAAACAACCTACAATCTATTCCTCCTGTGTCACCCATCTGCAAATACTGTTCTGTCTGAGTTCAGAGGGAGGATTTTCTTGGTTTAAAATTATGATTTCTTCCAATTGTGAGGAGCTCTGTGCACTGAGACCTCCTCTGTAGAGAAGGAGGTAGGAAAAAAAAGAAGCACATCCAGCAGCTCAAATACTAAAGAAAATAATGGAAAGAAAAAGATCAAACAATTCAGAAACAAAAGAAAATGAATGGCAGGGAGTGGCCTTGTGCTGGGAGGGGGTTTGATCCTTAAACTGAAGATAAACTTCCAGATAGAGAGGTAGTCACAGCTGTCTATATACTTCTCATATGAAGAGTCAAATTCTTCAGGCAGGTTAACTTTTTCTTTTCTTTATTGCTCCATCTTTTGCACTACTTTACTGATTTATGGCAACAGAAGATCATATGCTGTAGTAGTAGCAATAAAATCAACTATTTTAGAAGTTAAATTTATGAGAAAATAATAAGAGTAACTGATATTGTTCAGTCAAGATGTCTCTAGAGTTTGCATTACAGATGTTAGATGCTTCATTAATTTTCTTATTGCATGTTTATCTTAGGTTTATCATGATGTTCATTTATCATGAAGATTGTATTCAAGAGTATAAAGTACTTAATTGCTTTGCATTTAAGTTGTAACGTGAAGGAATTTTACAGACTTTGTTTTTTCTTCGTAGGATTGGTGGTTGGATTTATCCTTACAGTTGCAAATTACAGTTTCTTCAGTTCATTGCTTGTATTTTTTGTTACTTCTTCAAAACTTACTAAATGGAAAAAAGATGTAAAGAAACGTATAGATTCAGAATACAAAGAAGGTAAGCCCTAACACTTTGATTTCTTCAGATCCCTTGTGAAGAGTAAATACTGTGTACCCTTTCTTTCAATCAGATATGATGTAACACCCAGAATAGGGTACACTTGTCATTCCCATCTCCTAATCCCCACGAATGTAAGCAACTTACCTTTTGAAAATGTGCAGTTTTTAATTAAATTTTATATGTGTGCATTTTGCTTTTGTCTCCAGCTGTTGTATTTCAAGGTGTTTTATCTGAAAATACTAAAATTTCATTCTGTCATTTCAGGTGGACAGAGGAATTGGTTGCAGGTATTCTGTAATGGTGGTATTCCTACTGAGCTGGCTATCTTGTATATGATAGAAAGTGGACCTGGTGAAATCCCAATAGACTTTTCAAGATATTACACGGCATCGTGGATGTGCTTATCCCTTCTGGGAGCTTTGGCATGCTCTGCTGGCGATACCTGGGCATCAGAGATTGGTAGCGTTATGAGTAAAAGCAAGCCAAGGTTGATAACAACTTGGAAACAAGTTCCAGTAGGTGAGATATTGTCTGTTCTATATTTTCATATCTTAATGTTTTGTTTTGAATTATGCACCTATCTTGAAAAGTTCGAAAAGAGCCTCAAAAAAAGCCCAAACATTGGAAACAGATTTGAAAATGCTTGCAGGAATGTCTTCTCTGAAATGTAATTTACTCAATTGTTTTTCTGCTCTATATCAACTGTGAGATGTGTCAACACAGAATCCGGTGAGCTAACATCATGCATAGAGAATGCTGTCACTTCTTGACTCGGGTACTTGACTCTTAGAAGTGTTTATACAGACAATAACACAAAGACTATAAATTAGTAACTGTGTTTTTCAGTCATTACAATTTTAATCAATAGAAGAAATATTTTCATTACAGATGCTGTGGAAAACTCACCTCTCAATCACATTGCTCATTTTCTTTAATGTCTTACAAGGACTGTGCAAAGTGAGCCTTCTGTAGCTGTGAAACCATTTTTACACAGTGGATGACATTGCTGCCTTAAATCACTGTTTTTTGAGTCTTGCAGGCATGCTGATATGTGTTTTAGGCATTGTATGGGCATTTTTTTTCCACATTGTAAGTGTTCTTTAGATTTTATTTCTTTTCAGAAGGCTATCAAAATGTCTTTTCTATGGATTTTGCTCTTACTTTTAAACATATTGGTGAAATACTTCTTCATATACTTCTGAAAGAGGCGTTGTTTTAATAGCCTGCAGAACTCAAGCTCTGTATTCTTTGAGCAGTTTTTTTTTTCCTCCAGGTTTACAGCAGTCAGATACCAGGTTGTTGAGAACTTTACTATCTGCTTTTGCTTCATTTATTGCTAGGAAATATTTCTAGATAACAAGCCTTAGAGACAGGGAAAGTAATGTTAATGTTAAAAATCCTAAGAAAAAAAATTCTTAGGGTTTATATACCAGTTAAGCATCTGAGCAGCTTCATGAGGATTATAAATAAAAGCTGTGATGGCAGAGTCTTCTTGATAGATATGACTATGGGCATAGTAAATTTAAGTCTGTAAGAAAAAACATTGTAAATCAGCTTGATTTTTCTTTGATTCTCAGGTACTAATGGAGGAGTTACATTGGTGGGCCTGCTCTCAAGTTTTCTTGGTGGCATGGCAGTAGGTATAGCCTACTACATAACACAGCTTGTTTTCGTGAGTGATCTGGATGTGTCGGCTCCGCAGTGGCCAATTATTGTGTTTGGAGCAGCAGCAGGCTTACTGGGATCAATTCTTGATTCATATTTGGGTGCTACAATGCAATACAGTGGTAAGAATTGTCTTTTTTCTTTTTCTGATAAGACCTAAAAATGGACTTAATATTAGGAGGGGCTGAGGTATACAGAGATGTACAGAGTACACACACAAAGAACAAAGAGTCAGAGCAATGGGCATGATAATTCAACAAGAGCTATGGCAGTTGGTCCTCATTTGTGCCCTGCATCCTCTTCCTTTTGCATGTTTTGGTTTGTTTGTCTCACATTATTGTCTTGATGACTGAAAGAGACCAGAGATTTCCAACATGCTACCTTGGCAAGAACAATTTTTTCCTCCTTCTGTTTTTAATAATTGTAATCTTTTAGAAGAGAAAATGTCACCTTAATTTTGTCCATTCACTCAGACTAATTGGTGACTGCAGAATCTCCATTTCTTACTCTGGAGACCTAGTGATAGTGCCAGCTTTGAGAACTGAACAAGAACAACTCTGAGAAGATGTGCCCATTATTTTAGATTCTTTTTTTTTGACTGTTTAGTAGGGTAGTAGGGTACTGTTTCCTGGAAGTTAAGTATTTCATGAGCTAGCTGTGCTTTTATTTAAAAAAAACAAATTGGTATCCACTGAAAAAGGTTGTCAGCTGGTTGATCCTAAATAATTCCACTATTTAGTTACTCATTGCTCCTTAGAATCATTGTGAATGAACAATACAGGCAACCTTCAGATTAAGCCTTGTACTTAAAATCCATATCTGATACTATTCTGTCCAAAAGCTAATTTACAGAAGGAATTTTAGTTTTCTGTTTTTATTGTCAGTACACTTGTTAGAAATCACAGTTTGCATTTACAGATGAACTGCATGAGAAATAAAAGCCCATTGAAGCTACTGTCACAGTGAGCACTGCACTCTTGTTGATGCTGTGGATTTGGCTTTCCAGCAGTTTGTGTTCTCTATTCTTTGTAGATCTAGGAAAGTCCAAACCAAAATGGAATGTTTAACCATGTGAGGAATTCTTAAATATAATACTTCATTATTAAAGATGAAGCACTGAAGCACTCAGACTGTGTTTCATTCTTCTAGTGAGGCAGATGGGTTAAGATAACGTGGTAAACTTAGCTAATGCACGTCTGCATTTGTCATTTATTTCTTACTCACTTTAGATATTTTTCCATGCTCAGCAACTTCTTTAGTGAGCTACAGAAGGGACAGTGTGCAAGTTCCACAGATTCATTTCCAAATTTATAAGCAACTTCTGGACTGTGTTTACTATGTATGCATATGAATGCTATACATGCATGAATGGTATACGTGCTGTGACATAGATGAGTAAGTGCTGCTCATGGTGTGCACACTATTAAGTTACATCTCCCTCTTTGCTTAACCTGCTTTCCTAAACTGTGTTCAGTGTGTTCTCGTGAGAAATGCTCCAATCTCTCTTTAGCATCTTGAAAAAATGTCCTAACAGCTGTGATACTATGGGTATTTTTTTTGGTGGTTTTTTTTTTGGAAAACATGATGCCATGAGTGTTCAGAACAGCATCCTTTGCCTCAGTGGCTCTGCCAGTAGCTTCTTCCTCTTCTGGTTTAAGCTCGTGTTTTCTACCTTTCTTTGTCACATAGCTACATAAAGAGATAAGTAGACTCGTAGAAGCACAGCTGCTCAAAACTTTGAACTGAAAGTATTGCATTTAGGTTCCATTATTTGAATCTACCAGATGTAGCTAACCATAATTTTGGTTAGTTTTACTGTCTTTTCTTACAGGGTCAGACACTGTAATGGTAAGGGAATGTAGAAAGGTGCATACACTTGGTTACTGTTTCTTTTCATCTGCCTTGCCTTTTTAAAATGAGGTCTTTTTCTTCCCAGGTTTTGACAAGAATACCAGCATGGTTGTCAACTACCAAACAAGAGACTGCCAGCACATATCTGGAAAGCCTATATTAGACAACAATGCAGTAAATCTGTTTTCCTCTCTGCTTGTTGCTCTGGTTTTTCCAGCTGTGGCATTGTGTGTCTGGCCAAGACGTTGAAATGGCTTAAGGCTTTTGGCATGTAATCAGTTATATTCAGTCTTTCTTAAAGACTTCTAAGAGTGCTCTTTGAGTGCTCTTAAAAAAAGGGATCTGAACATTTGAGAGAGCCAATGGATTTCCATCTCAACTTATGTAAGCTTCGTATGGCAGTAGTCATCTATCAGGACAAGAAGTTTTGTTAATTATGCTGTTGCTCTTTGAGTGGTTGCAGATCATTGCCAAGTGAGGTAAAGCATTTTGTTTGTCCTCCTGAAACCTAAGGATTGGCTTCAGTGGTCTCAGTGGAGGAGCAAGAATCTGGAAATGGAAATGTGATCTACATTTACCAGGGTATTGGAGCACTGAAGCTATTGTCCAAGCCAGGAACAAGTCCTCTGCAACTTTGTGTAGGCAGCAATAACACAGGTAGAAAGGATGAATTCTGGTTTAGTATTTTCTATAATCCAGAGTATGTAAAGTTTTATGGAAATGTTTTGGGAAAAAAAAAAAAAAAAAAAAAAAAACAGGTTGCCTGTTCTGTATCCTGATAAAATTTTTCCTTCCCTGAAAATACAGTTGTTAAAAATAATACCATTACATAATGTTTGGAGCAAAAGACTATGTTTAGAATTAAAAAAAAAAAAAAAAGGTGTTTCCAGTAAGAATAATAAATTTGCCCATGTTTATTTGAAATTGTTATTTCCTAGCTAATTAAATATATGAAGATTATTATCACTATTGTAATGCAATAGTTATTAAATTATCTGGAATTAAATTTCAAAATTTTGAATTCACATTCGTTTTATAAATATGCAGATTGTCTCTGTAAGCATAGAATTGCTTCATAATGTTTTGCATTCTGAGCAAACTATATTCTTTGGTTCCTACACAGCAGTGTAAGTTTTTCTTCCTTTTGTTTGAGATTGCTATTCACAGATGAGAGTCTCAACCAAAGAAGCTACAGAGGTTATCCTCAAAGTGAATAGAGAAAGTTTCGTTGACAAATCATTTAGAAGTAGGAGTTTAATTTTTAGTGTTTTGTCTGCTGTAATAGATGGTTCCATCTCTCATCGTTAATTATAGAAGATGTGGAAGTTTCTGAGCCAGCATAGGTTGTATTTAAACTTCATGCATACCTTCATAGTAGCTGGAGATGTTCAGAAGGTAGAGCCCTTTCTGTTAACTTAAAAACTTGTTTTTGTTGTTAGAGGTAGTTGAAGATTTGTATTAAGTAGCTGATTTTTAGTTTATCTTTTCTTTTACAGACATGTTGTGTGTGTTGCCTGTCCAAATTCATTTGGATCGTACTCTGTCACTTTTTTTGAGAATGTTCAAAAATTTTAATACCTTCCACATTGGATTTATTGATTTGAAATTTACTCTGCAAGTCTGGAATTCAGCACTGGAATTAGTGAACTGTATTATCCAGCTTTTCGAAGGTATAAAAGCTTTCTGAAAAGAACAAGTTGTGTGGTTGCTGTACATCAGCCTTTCTGTGGAAAAGCACACAATTATAAAAGAAATGTATGCACTTAATCTATAGCAAGGTATACATGAGATTTTTTTTTAGTGGATTTATGCTGCTTCTACATAAAGGCTGTGTTAGTTGCCTTTTAGGATTTTATTAGTACTTCTGTAATGTTTAGAATTAAAAAATACACATTTTTGTAAAATAATTTTTCTTTCAATTAAATGCCTTATTTTTTTATTATTATTTCAGTTCCTGAAACAAAGTCTGCTTTCAAATACTGAGGTAGACTTAGCCTGTTTTTCACTGCTGTTCAATACTAGTCTCATTTTAAAAACAGCATGTCACAGTGAGAAGACATCTGTAGTTTTAAGTCCACAGCAGCATGAAATGCTTTGATCTGTTATCATGTGAATTAATGTGATCCCATCAGAGTCCTGCAATAAGGACCTTCAATGGCCGCTGTTTGGAATTTTACCTTTGTCTTATCTTCATGATGGTGACGCTGAGTTGTTTATGAAATTCCCACTCCTAAATCTTCAATATTTAGAAAGATCAGAGTACTCTTGAACTCCGAAAAGGACTCCAAAAAAAACTCCAAAAAGTGCTAATTCTATGTATACTATATCAACTCAGGTACAGCTTATGCTAATTTAGTTTCTTCTTTTTAATAGAAGGTACAGGGAGGAAGATACAGTGTATGGCTGTACCTGTGAACAGCCTGTTAACTGATGTGTCACTAAGAGCCATTACTGAGATGAGAAAGGAGCAGACAGGAATGTTGCCTTTCCACGTGATGCTTTGGGAAATAGAAAGCATAGAAGTAAAAGGGAAAATGAGGAGAGAAGCTAGATTGAAAACAGAAAAATCAACAGCACCTGAATATGTTTTGCTTCAGAACTGTTGGTACCTTTAGTGTGTGAGATAACTCTGTCACTACATTTTATTGAAGTGACAGAGATTTTCCATAGCACCAAGAGGATGCACCAAATTTTTTTCTTTTTTAATTGAGAAGTTTCAATTGTGAAACATTGTTCCTCGTTTTTGGCTTGTTTTTAGATGTGTTAGAAGTTCAAGTAAAAGTATGATAATGGCATAATTTATTTTTAATAAATAACATATTACAATCACTCTGTGTCTGAGAAGTCTTTAGCCAGGTCTTGCTTAGGCTTGGTGTCCTGATCTTGAGTGTTGAAGGGTGTTGGTATCAGAGTGACCAATATTCAGAATTACTTCGTATTTCTCTTAGATTGTCTTGGGTCTGTCCATGTTGCTGTTGACTGGTCTGCCATTACAGCTGTAAAGCACAGTTTGCTGGGACAACGAAATAAAGCGGTATAAAAAGTGAAGTGGATATATCACCTCTCTTGAGACTTAAACACTAGCTAACGTTCAGATAACTCACTTTTTTGACAACAAGGGGCTGAAAAATTTTGAAAGACTGTTGACATTTTACAGACCTTGGTTTGCGGACTGGATAAATGCAGCAGTAGATTGATATTCACATTTAAATCTGTTAGGATTTCGTTTTTCACATTTGTAAGTGGGATTTTTTTTCCTGTTTTTCCCCCATTATTGCTCTGGTCCCTTCTCTGTTTTTAATTATCCAGATCCTGAAATTGCACTAGATTGTTATTTCTTCAAGCAGGAGTTAACCTATTTTCAGGAAGTTGGAGTGTTGACTTAGAGCTTTGTAGATATATTGCACCCTGCTTCTGGCAGTTCTTCCAGTGCTGCCAGGTGTTTGTTGCTTCACACCAGTACCAACCTACCTGTCTGAGTGTCTACAGCTTCCAATGTTACTGTAACTGGGTAATCTCTTTCAATTTAAATACTTGCTTTGTTTTGGGGAGATGTGGGATGGAGGGTCTGTGGAGCTCTCAGAATTAGGGGCCTGTCACAATGTGTGAATAAGAGCAGGGATGTGAATTCACTCAGACTATGTGGAGCAATACAGCACACCCAAGTCTGGAGATGCCAGTAAATATTGCAAGTCCCAAATGAAGATGAAATCTGGAAATGTAGAAACAAAGCTGTCAGGTAAATGGTGTCTTGTACTTATGTACTCTGCTCTATCAAACTCTGTCCCAAAATGAAACAAATTCCAGCAGGACAGAATTTATTCAGTAGCTTTTCTTTGGCTTCCATTTCCAAGGAGGCAGATGATCAGTATGAATACCTTGCTACTCAATGAAGAACTAAATGCCAGTTTCCCTTGATATACCGTAGGACCAGTAACTGTGGTCCTTAGCTTTCCTCTGTGTGCAAGTTCTGACCCAGAAACATCCTGTGACTGACTGGTAGTGTGAACAGTAGTGTCATAAACATCATAAGTTTAGGAATATCATTAGAATAAATCTACATTCCTGTAGTAGACCATCTAGAGGATTGTTAGCTTTACACTGCTTTGGGTACTGTTGTCCTAGAGCAGGGATATGTATTGGTTCCTAACAGAGTGGCTGTAGAAGAAAAGACTGTGTGTAGCTGAAATGTGGAAGAACCAGCTTGACCTGTATTCAGGGAAGGGGTTTCAGAAAGTGGACCACCACCAGCCTGGAAACAATTGCTTTTCCTGGGGGACAACTTAAACAGTGCTTTTCCTGGTTGGACTTAAACAGTGCTTCCCAGACAGTTCTGTTACTTATTTTTCCCTATTTTTCCCTTTTTTTTTTTTTTTTTTTTTTGAGGCAAGCAAGGACGAAGCAGAACTAAACGCCTCTATGTGATCACCATCAAAATTGAATTTGGAGGTTCAAAACCATACCACTAGCAGGAATGACAGCAGTATGAATGTACTCTGCCTTTAGAGAGAATGCCACTAGAGAGCAAGAAAGAGTAAGAATTCAAGTCTTTTTGTGCTCATTGATTATTATCCTCCCATAGCTCAATAACTGCTTCTATCAAGGCTTTCCAACTGCAGTCCTAGCTGCAAAACTATGAAAGTAGAAGGACCTCATTAAAACTTCTGTCAGCATGAGGGAGTAACATTGCGGATATCATGCAAAAATGAAGGCCTCTGCAGACACTTCTTGTTACAGAGGCTGAGCTCTGCAGTCTAACCTTGTGCTGTGAACTGGAGAATGTTATTCTTAATGCTCTCTCTCACTTAACCCAATTATAGGCTTTATACAAGCCTTTGGGTTTTCAGTGTGTTTATCTGGGTAAATACACCAATCAACTTCTACCCCCACAACCTAGCACAGCTGTGTATTTATAAAAGCATTAAAATTCCCATGTAACAGCTGATGAACTCCTGCTACAATGATTGCTGAAGAGTTCGGCCCAGTACTAGGAAGGCAGGGCTTCCTGATTTCCTTGTGACCACATTCATTATCCTGATACTTAATTATTCCATTTGTTGATATCCTAAATCCTGGAATCACTGATGAAAGCTGCTGCAATCCAGTGCTTATCCTAAAGCAGCATTCATTTCAGCCTGCTCTTAGCCTGCCTTAAACAGCCAAACGCCTCCAGTTATGCTACTCCCAGTATGAAAAATATATGCATCATCTTGTTGTATTATGTCTCCTCCCAATGTGTTTTAAAATGGAGAAGTGAAAACAGGTAATCCATGGTGTGCTGGGATAAGCAGCATGGGTGTAATTCACTATTAGAATTCTGGAAGTCATTTGGATGGTGCTCTAAGAAAAAGAAAACGGAGTGTCAGCATGGAGCATTGCATTCACAGTGTCTGCAGCTCTGAGCTAAGTTAGCTATGCCAGAAAAAAGAAAATACCCTAAAAAATACCTAATCCATTATCATAAGACAAAATGGAAGCATAAATATAAGTCAGTTTAAACTGACACTGGCTTGTCTATAGATTTGTGAGTAATATACCACAAAGATTCATTTTGGTTTCATTTGGAGTGGATTACTGTGGTTACTTCATTTGGTTCAGAACTAACCTGAAAAAGAATGTAACATAAACTTGGAATTTAGATGCCTTTTCTTTTTCTCTCTGATGAATTCAGTCTCTTACTACATATTTTGATTCTTTTCCACAAGGGAGAAGTGCTGGTCATCTTCACTTACTCTGTGTGAGGAGATGTCTTTGTTCTTCAGATGCAACAAAGTCAGGAGAAGAGAGGCAAAGATAAACCCACATTCGTTTTTGAAAATGCAGGCTGACTTGCTTTGCCCAGTTCTTCCTTGCAGATGTTGTTGCGTTAGACTGCAAGCTCCGTCTTGATTACAGTGAGCTCTAGTTCATTGACTGCACCCTTTGATCATTCTTAGGTAGAATGCTCTTGTGCCTGCAGCTCTAAGTGCAATCTCAGGAGCTCAGACATGTATAGCACATGGCTTGACAGAGCCTGCAATAGCATTTTTAAAGAGAGAATAAAGTCCTAATTCAGAAAATACGCAATGGCTTAACTGCAATGTTCTCTTTTCTTGAGATTTTTGACAATACTGCTTCTGTTGGGGAAAAAAACCAAAAACCTTCCATAGTTTATTCTAGGTACTTGTGCCAAAAGCCCACTTTGGTAGTGGCGCTACTAAACTAGCATTTTAGAAAAGCAAATGCTTTAGGAACTTTCTAAACAGCCAAACTGAAAGGACAACTTAAAGCAACAGTGGTGTACATCATGATAAGGAACAGGAATGTCTCACTGAACGGTGCTATGAATGCCAGAAGGCACCCATTAGTGTTGATATTCAGCATCTAACAGTGCCCTGAAGAGTGAAGGTGCTGACTGTCGTTTATAGAAATCATAGCAGTAAAATCCTACCAGATTCAATAGGCACATTCAGGACTGCTTTTTGGCACCTCTAATTTTCGAAAACTAAAACTGGTCAGAACCATTCTCTCTGACAACAGCAATTTGCTGAACCTGAAATCCTACTGCTTTAAAAGTTCTGTTCTAATTTGTTTATAGGAAGGAGGTACATCACTGTAGGTGCACATTTTTCTTCACGCCATCGTTAGGATAGCATTTTGTTTGAAGGTTACTCCTATTTTTGACTAAGAAGGAAACACTAGAACTGTATGCTAAGAAGTGTCTTCTAGAGATTAAATGGGTTTGGTTATTGAAAGTTATTATTAAATATTAATATTAAAAGTGTTATTTAAATTCACTTCAATGATGGCTCTATGCACCAGCAGCTCTTCAGTATTTAAGCAAGAAGCAGAGAGAAAAATGACTGGTGGCAATGAACACATATCAGCCTATGGCCACATCTTCATGGAATGCACCAGTCCCAAAACAACACCTGTGTGCATGTTTTGGGGCTGCTATCACCAGTTTTTTGCACTGTAATCATTAAAGTATTTTTTAAACTGTTAGATGTCTGTGAGAAACATATCATTTCCTGATTATTTTTTGCTATTATCTGAAGAATTCGGTTTCCTTTGTTTCTGTCTCCTTTATCTTGTTCTCTGTTTTCAGCTTTAGCTCCTCCTGCAATCTGCAGCTGTTCTTCAGTCCTCATGAATGTGGCTTAGAGGAACCACAGAACAGTGATTCTCTTCATAGCAGGAGATGCTAAGTTGGTGTTTGCACTTCTGTGCATGGCATGGGACTGATCTGTTTTGAGCCATTATTTTTTCCTTGGTAGTGCAGATAGCTGTATAAAAACACAGCCTGATGTCCTCTGGGGTTTACGATGTGTCCCTTTGCATCTAGGTTGATAAAAAAGTGAAATGTAAAACAATAAAAGCTGATTACAGGGGTTGAAAGTTATAGAAAGCTGAGCTCGCCTTTTAGCACTGAGATTGCTGAGGAGTGTTACCCTCATACCCTCTCCTGGGGAAGAGTTTAATGCAAAGAGAACATCTTTACAGTTGAATGCAATGCTAAAGCTCAGCACCTTCCCCCCACAACCCATGTGTACTCCTGCCTGAGCCCATACCAGAGCACAGCAGAGAACCTTCTGTGCCAGAATTGTATAGCTTCTCTATCCAAGAGCATCTAGATAGAGTAGATTGTCTACTATTTTTTTAAATAGAAAGGCTGAAAAATAGATTAGCTTTGTATTTGTATTAGCCCTACTGAAGGGCTAGCAATCAGAGGGTGTGCTTGTGTTGTCTGAAGAGTCTTGCTAACCAGCAGTCAGCAGGGCCCTGTGCTTTAGCTGCTGGAGGTGTGCCCTGCTCCTATGGTCAGGTCCATAAAGTACATGTGCAGTTGCAGGGCTGAGTTAATCAGTTTTAACTTTGCTGAATTGTGCTTAGGCCTCAAACATAATTCAAAATGATTGTATTATTACTGCCATCACTTCTGACCCTCCCTGGCCTGGAACTTATTTTCCAGGTCAAAAAAAGCACTTTGATAGTCTTCAAGGGAGGGTTTAAGGAAATGAATGTGGATAGGCTATTTAAAACTGCTGCACCCAGAAACTGGGTGTAGTAAAACTCCTTTAAATTGCATAGTACTAAGGTGATCCACGTTGAAGACAACTGAAGATCTTCCAGGTAAAATGGGCTGTCAGTGATGGACTGTAATTACTCAGATGGAAGACTGAAGCCATGACAGCGTTCGTCTAAAATGTAATCTCTATAACTCATACGAGAATTAGTCAGAGAGGATGCCATGATTAGATTAGACAGGAGGTCAGGGTACTTGTTGGCAACAGTAGCTTGCTGGTCTGTGAATGTTGTGTATCGATCACTTCTGTGGGACCAGAAATGTATCTGGACAAGCAGTACTCAAAATAGGGAGCCTTGCTTGTGGTGTACAAGACACAGACACTGGTGTGTAAGCACAGCTATTGAGCCAGACAGAGATCATGTGGCAGACAACTGTCATGAATATGCATTTATGCA